GGGTGACTTCCCTCTTTTCCAATGTGTACACCAGGCTACCTGACCTGAGAGCTTCCAGGATTCTCATGATGCTGTCTCTGACCACCCCACAGGAGCATAGAGTTTATAGGCACGGTGCCTGTGTTTTACTTTTTATATGATTTCTGGGGATTTGGACTCACACCTACACTTTGAATAAGAAAATCTTCCAAACCATCAACCTATCAACCTAGCACTAGATAGATAGATAGATAGATAGATAGATAGATAGATAGATAGATGGATAGTCATTTAGATATTAGTATTTAGCACAATCAGTGTGTAACTTTAAATGATTTTGTTTTCCAACATTTAAAACAATATGAAGAGATTCAGGCCAGACACAGTTCACATTGTCATCCCAGCACTTAATGCCATATCTTACAATGAATGAAAACTTAGATCCAAGAAAGTATATATATATGAACACCACTGTTATTCTTCTTGAAATAAAAGCAAAAACACTTGTTTCTAATGCTGAATTGGCTTGAGAATGTCGTTCATTTTGTCTACTGTATCAGGTCATGAACTCTAGTAATGTAACCACAAATACATGGAAATATTGGAGCTGGGGAGATGGCTCAGTTGGCATGAGCATCTGACCAAGATCTCCAGTATCCATGTAAAAAGTCAAGCAGAGTGTACACAACTGTAATTTCAATGTTGGGGAGGTGGAGACAGGAGGAGGCTTGCTGGCTAGCCACTCTAGCCACTCAGTGAGCTCCAGTTGCAGTTGCAGTTCCTGTCACTGAATAAAGGTGGAGAGATGATGGACATCAACCTCAGTCTTCTGCACATACACACATGTACAGACAACAAAATACAAGGTAGTAAATATTATTAAAGCATGGTGAATTTTTATTATGTTTAGTTATTGTGTGCATGCATATACTTCCAGGTGTGACCATGACATGTGTTTTCCTCTCTTGGTTCCATGGCAAGCATTTACCAATCTGTTGGACCTCAAATGTGTTCCTCATGCATGGCACCAAAATGAATGGATTAAGTCATTGGCTCCAACTGATCCCAACTATCCCAGACAACAAACAGTACTACTAGCATCATTATTTATCAACCAATACCCACAAATGAATTTTAGAAGGTTTGTTTTCAACCTCTGCATGTGCTGCTTTTGACAAATGCTTATTAGAGCATCTACAATTTAAGATTGCAGCTATTCATTAGCTGATACTGTGACAGTTGACTACATGGGAATTCCAAGACAAGTAAGCTTAATTGTTACATGGTTCTCTTAAAGGATGGCTAAACAAACAAGCTGACTACAAAATAGGATAGTAATATTAATCTTAAATGACCTCTGGCTGTGAGGTCCACAAAAGTTCCAGTCTCTTAGAATGTAAGAAATATTTTAATAGTATTGTGTTGCTGCACATAACTAATCAAATAAGAAAACCTACATTAATGCAAGTATATGTTCTGAGGACACAGGTCAGTAACAGAATGATAGACTAGCTTAGGTAGGTACCTGCATCCAGCAACAAGCTGTCAAAGTAAAAATCAAGAGACAACTAACTAATTAATTAACAAAAAAACAGCTCTCACCTCAAAATGATAGTTTAGAGATTATTCTGGAGCCAATATGTAAAATAACAATTAATAAATTAGTTAAAATGGCTTTTACCTCAAAAAAGAGGTAGTTTATATTTTATAATTTATTCTGGACCCAAATACAGTAAGGGAACACAGGTTTACATTACTTTAAATTCCATGTTGCAGTGTGGTAAGAGTTTCTTTGAGTTTTTACACTAATACAGCAAAGAAAATTATAATCTAACCTGCTTTTCAGATTCATTGGTGGCAGGATAAGGTGGACAGATTACAATGTGATGAGAAACCTCTGTCGTAGGCCCAATGTGCTTTCTGGTAACAGTGTTAGCTTTTGGTTGACCAAAAGCTCATGGCCTCTTCATACATCCCGAAGGTTTCATGTGATAGTCCAAATGATATCAGGTCACACACAGAAGTGGGCAATGTATGGCTTTTAATGGATCTAAAAATAGTTCAAGATAATTTATTGTGGATCTACACCATTCCAACCTCTCCACAGCACTGAAGAAAGGTTGAAGCATTGTCAGTGTTCTTTAGTAGAGGAATATTGGAATCATTTTTGATATGTCTGTAATATGAAATCTCAAGCAACAGTTTAAAGTGAGGTAGCTTTTGTAAATTGGCATGTAATTATCTCAAAGATGTATTATTAAGTAAGAAGCTGAAAGTGCAAATCAGGAGCTGTATTATGGAACATGGTATATGATTAAATAAGTACATAAAATAATATTATGTGTTTACAAATACTCCTCCCCGAATCTAAAATGGCTGAAAGACACATAAGAAAGTGTGTAACATCCTTAGCCATCAGGGTAATGCAAATCAAAACAACTCTGAGATACCATCTTACTCCTGTCAGAATGGCTAAAATCAAAAACACCAATGACTGTTTATGCTGGAGAGGATGTGGAGAAAGATGAACACTTCTCCACTGCTGGTGGGAGTGCCAACTTGTACAGCCACTTTGGAAATCAGTGTGGTGACTCCTCAAGAAAATGGGAATCAGTCTACCTCAAGAGCCAGCAATTCCACTCCTAGGCATATACCCAAAAGAAGCACATTCATACAACAAGGACATTTGTTCAACAATGTTCATAGCACTATTTGTAATGCCCAGAAACTGGAAGCAGCCTAGATGCCCCTCAACCGAAAAATGGATAGAGAAAATGTGGTACATTTACACAATGGAGTACTACTCATCAAAAAAACAAAAAAAAAAACAAAAAAAAAACAAAAAAAAAAATGGAATCTTGAAATTTGCAGGAAAATGGATGGATCAAGAAGAAACCATTCTGAGCGAGGTAACCCAATCACAAAAAGACAAACATGATCTGTACTCACTCATATGTGGATTTTAGACATAGAGTAAAGGATTACCAGCCTACAATCCACACTGTCAGAGAAGCTAGGAAACAAGGAGGACCCTAAAAGAGTCATACATGGTACCCTAGAGAAGGGGAAAGGGTCACCATCCCCTGAACAAATTGAGAGCATGGGAAGAGGGCAGAGGGAGCTACGAGAATGAGAAGGGGAGAAAAGGAAGGATGCAGAGGAAATGAGGGAGCAGAAAGGTTGAGACAAGTATAGATTAGAAGAAAGGATATGCAATAGGTAGGTTTTAGTTGGCGGGGGTGGTAGGGGAGGAGGAGAGGGAGATGGGAACTGGGATTGTCATGTAGTTCAATCATGTTTGTAACTCAAAATTTAAAAAAAAAGAAAAAGAAAAAAGAAAAAACAAATACTCCTACCCAAGAATGTACACAAAAGGTCTGTTTTGCTCATAAATCAAATAGACTATAGTGATACTTCTACTGAAGTTAGGAGAAATTACTTTCCTTTTTGATATAAGAATTTTAAAGATGTGTTTAGAGCCTGGAGAGATGGCTCAACCGTTAAAAGCAAGTACTACTGTTGCACCCACTGCTGTTACAAAAGACCCAAATTAAGTCCCCAGAATCCTTGTCTGGCTCCTCACAATCATCTGTAACTCCAGATCCAGCAGCTCTGATGACCCCTCCTGGGCACTGTGGCACCTGCACTCACATGCACATACCCACCCCCAGGCACACACATAAACATAATTGAAAATAAAATTTTAAATCCTACCAACAAAACTTAAATAATGTTCATACTAAGAATTTTATAATTTTGTTAAATGAAAAACAACTAGTGAAGTTGTTTGAAATTAACAACTAAATCAAATAAGTCAAGGTAATGGAAAATAGTCTGATTTAATGAACAGCGAAAGTTATAAAAATCAACCCCTTCTCTACCATAGCTCTAAGACTACCTCATGTGTAAGGCCAATTGGAAACATGATTAGTCCATTGCATTATGTAGCTGCAAGCTCATTTCTCTTTGGTGCTTTAGGAACACACTTTGGACTCAATAAAACAAAACCAGAACTACAGCATTTGAGAAGAAGCAGGATAAATTCAAACCTTGACCACAGCACAATACTGAGCTGTAGATATACGCTGACCACAAAATTCTAACAATCACAATTTCATTTTTTTCCTGCTGTCTCATCAAGAAAGATGTGACTTAATCATCACATACCACAAGAGATAATGTTAGAATTCTAAGAAGTTTTCCTGGGAAAATTATAAAAAGAAACACATGCATAGATGCCTGAGTAGAATTTCTGTCTTGGAATTTCTTTCCTTTCTCTCCAACATAAGAACTAATTAGAATGTCTCCCAAGACAAGAAAACGTTCCTACCAGCTTCTCATTGAATTCAAACAAGTTATTATCCATGTGATTCATGTACCCTCATGTAATTAAATGTTAGACTTAATTAAGTAATTTATAAATTAATGAGTTTCGAAGTATAGAAAAGGGAATAATTCGTCACACTGAAGGTGACATTACTGGCTTCCAGTGTTCTCACTAATCCATTATTTGCTTTAATTTGTGAAGCTTAACAAATGTCAGTGACTTGGATTTCTTCCATTTATTTCTCCAAGAATAGATAGTAAAAGATCAAATCAACATAAAATGAAATATCAAAATAACATTGACTTTGTCTCAATGGGAACATGGACAGTACATGAAATCTTAGAATTACATACAGGCATGCCAGTGATCAAACAGAGAACCATGTCTTTTTGTAACAGCCCTTCATCCTCTGAGCTCCACATCATAAAAAAACTCCAGGGACCCTGCCTGGTCTCAAGGAATCCCTCCAGGAGAGCAAACACCATGTGTTTTGTAAATCCAGTTATTCTAGATGTGCCCAGAATGCTGCTGACTTTATCAACAGACTCAGGTAGAGAGATCCATTATGGCCACTATTCAAGACTTGGCAGGAGCAGAACTGATGACAGGGTCCCATTACCTGGTACTTATTTATGCCTTAGATTGTAGAGGTGAATTAAGCATAATACATTCAACCAAATCAAGCTGTGTTTACCTCTAGCCACTCCTGGAAACACCAGAGCCTTTAATAGCACCTTGCAGCCACTGACATCTGCACATATCTCCTGAGAACAATACCAAGAAGACTTAGATTCTTGCTTTTTTGTCAGGATGAGGTCCTGTGGGGTTGACTTGGGTCTTGACTGCCACTTGGGATTAGACCTCAAGAGATACTTTAAATCCAAAATACACATCCAGCCTCTCCTCATCTGAAAAAGAAAAAAAAAAAGTCTCTACAGTGCTGGGCTTCAAAGCCAGGACTTTGACCATACCAAGTAAGTGGTCTTTCACTGAGCTGCATTCCTAGCCCTCCTCCTGGTTGCTATATTGTTTACTGATCACTCATAGATGCCTGCTATTCCAGGGACTTGCCCTTGCCAGTGAGCTTCTGACATAATCCTACAAAGTCCTGACCTTCTTCCTTTGTGGAACTAAATCTGAGAAGCAATTGGTACTCCAGGCCTTCCTTTGATGAGTTAGGCTGGGCTCCATGTGAGGCCATGTTCTGGCTTCCTGGATGTCTCCCTATCTTTCTCCCCTGGTCTCATTCTCTCTATCTTCCTCCTCCTTATTCTCTCTTCCCACAAGCCCTGAATATCCCTTTACTCCTTAGTTATTGGCCATTCAGCTTTTTATTAAACCAATCAGGTGCCTTAGTCAGGCAAAGTGAAATGGCAACACATCTTTATATAATTAAGCAAATGCAGCATAAACAAATGTAACATATCTTTACCTAGTTAAAATAATATTCCATAACCAAATTCTAATTCTGTCTACATAAAATGGAATGGTTTCAACATCATCATAGTAAACCTATATACAATAAGAACAATCATCAAGAATGAATTACATTATAATATCCAGTCCCTTTGCATTTGGCAATTTGGAGAAATCATTCTATTAACTATTTTATCTTGATGAGTCCAAAGGTCTGTGCCTATTTTGCCTTCTATCTTAACTGAGGAAATCTGTAACTATAATTATCTACTCTTCAACTCCATCAAAGACCCAAGAAGGATATAAAATTACTAGAGTAAACAGAAAGTATAGAGCAAGCAACTTCCAAAACTATAGAAAAAAAACAGAGACAACTGGCTGCCTGGACAGTCACCCAAGGTTCCTCAGCAACACTGAGGCATCCATCTTCAGCCTACAAACCTAGAATATCTGTAGACTTTCATAGACTTTCTATGAAGCAAGAATCTTGAAGGACCATCCCAACTTGTCTTGGAAAGTTCAGCAGTTGCTTTCCTTTGTGTGTTGCTTGTCTAGTTTGTACAGCATACTGTCAGCAGTAAATGCAAGGACAGTTAGTTGCCCCAATGGCTACCTTTGCCTCAATGAAAGCAAAATGGAGGTTTTGAATTCCCATCATCCTTTTATAAAGGAGGTTGGTGCTGGGGGAGGAGGAGCAGATGTGTCTCGCTGTCAATGAAAAGCCTCTTATTCTTCTTCAGGATTACTCTCTCTTTTTTTAGGTTTTAGAGATAGGGATTCTCTATGTAGCTTTGTAGACCAGGCTGGCCTCAAACTCACAGAGATCCTCCTGTGTCTGCCTCCCCCCAAGTGCGGGAATTAAAGGCATGTGTCACCAACCACCAGGCTTCATGATTACTCTTTACTTCCACTTTTACAATCATTCTTCTCTTATTCCACAGCAAACTCAGAGAATGACTCATGGAGATAAAATACAAGAAGCAACAAGTGGCAGCCATGAGGACTGTGAGAAATATCCTCTGTTGTCTGTACAGTCTGTTTTGGGCATGGAGACTAAAAACCTAAAGCTCAGATGGAACAGATAGAACGCCAGGGTAAGGCACTCACTTTCCAATCCCTTCCACTCTACATCAGTATCTGATGGACTTTGCCTCTTGATTAAAAGCAAAGATTAATGAAATGGTCTCTGGGCTCCTATACAGAAGACTGATGGGCTGACAGGGTGTTTTGTTACAAACTTCTATAAGACTCATCACACAGAGAAGTTGCTGAGAAAAATAATTAGTAAATAGAGTACATTGAAATGACACAAAGGTGCCGGGACACACCTGTTATCCCCACACTTGGGAGTGAAAGCAAGATCTAGAGGATCAAGATCACCCTCCCTCAGCTACATAGACCGTATGAAACCAGCCTGGGCTACATGAGAACTTGTAGACAGAGGGAGGGAAAGGGAAAGAATAGGTAGGAGAAGGAGGGACAGAGACAAGGAGGGAGGTTCCCAACAGATCAAAACATTTAGTTGAGACTAACACACTGAAGCATGCTAGGAGTGTATCCAAAAGCAGAGGGACCACAGCATCAAATGCAGCTCATGCCTAAAACACTTATTACAAGTGTAAACTCATGTTTTCAGAAACATGTTCGAAACTGTCCCTTGGAAGACAGTATTACCATTTTCTTCCTGATTTACAGTGTTTTCAAAACTGTTGTGTTACACTAGGGGCTCTGGTTATTAAAGTAAAGTGAAAATGAGTTCTAACTGCCTGCATGTGCCAGGTTTATGATTAATTTAACACACACACACACACACACACACACACACACACACACACACACACCATGAATAAAAGAAGCTTGCAAACTTAAAAATTTTTGCAAGCTCATTTTAACACTGGAAACTTTGAAAGCTAGTTTCAGTAGAGAAAAATAAGAAATCAGGGCAGGTAACTCACACCTTTAATCCCAGCACTCAAAAGGCAAAGGCAGGCAGATCTCTGTGAATTCAAGGCTAGCCTGGTCTACATAGCAAGTAGTAGGTAATCCAGACTGACAGAGAATGACCCTGTTCAAGAAGAAGGAGGAGGAGACAGCAGAAGCCAGAGCAGTGTGACTTGAATAGTCACAGTGGAGATTCTGACAATAAAAGCTATTCTTTCAAGAAACTAAAGCATCAGTTGGAAAGTTGCTGGTTTGAGGATCAGCTTTTCATTAAAATTTGACCAAAAAAAAAAAAAAAAAGGGGAAATTGCCAAGGTCAAAGGGAAAAAGAAAAAGGAGGTAAAAGCAAAAGTGAGTCAGGAAACCAAACGTGTATAACTAAACGCAAAGCTTAAACTCTGGTGTCTTGCAATGATTTGAGGAAAAGGTTTCAGCTCCTTGGACATTTCTCAAGGCTTCAGTGAGATGTGTTTTTATTGTCATATGTGATGTGCACATGCCACCTTGTGGTGATTCTAGGAATAGCGTCCTTTAAATTTATTTTTAATTTCTCATAGCCCTTTTATTATGTTATTTCAGAAACAATCTTATTTTATATATCAATCCACTCCCATTACCTCACCCTCCCATCCTCCCATGCCCCCTGCCAGCCACCCCTGACTCCCCCAACCCACTCCCCACTCACCCCCAAGGAGAGTGAGGCCTTCCACGGGGATCGTCATAGTCTGTCATATCATATGGGGGAGGGCCTAGGCCCTCTTTCGTGTATCTGGGCTGCAATAGTATCTCTCCATAGGGAATGGGCTACCAAAGTCCATTTGTGCTCTAGGGATAAACACTAGCTCCACTGTTAGAGGTCCCATAGACTGCCCTGGTCTCCTAGCTGGCACCCACATTCAGAGGGTTCAGTCCAATGATGGTTAACCAGCTTTATGACTAGGGTCTTTGTGCTCTCTCACTAGGTCAGGTCTACTGTTTCTGTGGGTTTCTCCAGCACAGTCTTGGCTCCTTTGCTCATCCCTCCTTAGCTACAACTAGATTCCAGGAGTATGGCTCAGTGTTTAGCTGTGGGTACCACTTCTGCTACCATCAGCTACTGGATTAAGGCTCATGCTTGTCTTTCTGTGGTTGGATTACCTCACTCTGGATGTTTTCTTCCAGTTCCATTCATTTGCCTGTGAATTTCAGGATTTTTTTTTCTGCTGAGTACATTTCTCCATTGTGTAAATGTACCACATTTTCTCCATCCATTCTTTTGTTTAGGGGCATCTAGGCTGCTTTCAGGTTCTGTCTATTACAAACAACACTGCTATGAACATAGTTGAATACCTGTCCTTGTTGTATGAATATGCATCTTTTGGGTATATGCCCAAGAGTGGAATTGCTGGATATTGAGGCAGACTGATTCCCATTTTCCTGAGAAACCTCCATACTGATTTCTCTGAGATACCATCTTACACTAGCCAGAATGGCTAAAATAAAAACATCAGTGACAGTCTACGCTGGAGAGGATGTGGAGAAAGAGAAACACTCCTCCATTGCTGGTGGGAGTGCCAACTTGTACAGCCACTTTGGAAATCAGTATGGCGACTCCTCAGGAAATTGGGAATCAATCTTCCACAAGATCCAGCAATTCCACTCCTGGACATAATTTTTTTTAATTACTTGTATTTTTATTATTTTGTGCACTTATATGATGCCTATTTATATGTGTGAGCCCAATTGTCTGTATGTGCACAACATGTGTGAAGTGCCCTCAGAGGCCACGAAAAGGCATTGCCTGCCCCTGGAGTTGGAGTTACAGGTGTTTGAGAGCTAACTGATGTGGATTCCGGGAACTGAACCAGGGTCATCCCCTCCCCCATAAAGTAAGTAAGCATTCTTTTGTTTGTTTGAGATTTGAGGAGGTTAGTTTTGTGAGGTTTTTTTTTTTTTAGGCAGGGTCTCACTGTGTAGCTTTGGCTGGCCTGGAACTCCCTACATAGACCAGGCTGGCCTCGAATTCATGGAGATCTCCTCCCTCTGCCTCCCAAGTGCTGGATTAAAGATGTGCACTGTCACGTCCAGCTAAACAAGCTCTTTTAACCTCAGAGCCACCTCTCTAGCTCCTAGAGATAGCTTCTCTATCACACAATTTACACATTATTAGAGTCCCGGGTATGAATTATAACATTTTCTTACTCTTTTTTTGTTGTCTTTTGAGGTTTTTTTCTTCTTAACGTGAGTTCCTATTTTTGCTTTCTTTTTGATTAATGCACAGCATTAAGAGGGAATGATGCAACTCGAATTAAAAAAGGAACAGTGTGAGGAGCTATAAGAATTCTTTTTAATGAGCTACCAGAACAAAATACATAATCTGAAATTTTACGAGAAACTGTTTCAGTGCCCCCGGGTTAACCTGGAGTATATGCAATGGTTGATATTTGTTGCCAACTTGACTAGATTGAGAACCGCTTAGGACACACAGCTCTGGGTGTGCAGACAGGAGCATGTGCATGCTGGCTGTGGGCAACCCTACCTTCTGGGTGGTACTGCACTTGTTAGAGGAGAC